AACAGGGTACGCTAATTAACATCTGTTGTCTTCACAAGAGCCATTATGATTACAGTCTTTCAATTTATTCTATTTCTGCCCCTGAAAAAAAAAACAAAACAAAACAAAAAAAAAACAAACCACGCAAGCATCACCTAGGCTACATCCTTCCACAGTGCCTCAGGAAGGAAATCCAGAAGTGTTATCAGTCATTCCCCTGGATTCCTCATTGATACATGAACAGCTACAGGTTTTGTCTGGTTTTTCTTCAAACTCAGGGGGACACAAATATCATTAACTGCAAATACAATAAACCCAAACCAAGTTTACTTCACAGCTGCTTACCCTGCCATACAGAGTATGTAACAGTGAGTGTCCTGTCCTGTCTGCAACACAACAGCATCTGTGAGCCTGTCCTCCTTTTCCAAACTGGAGACTCTGTCCACCAAATGCACGCTGGTAGATTTTTCCTTCTTCCGTTCTGCTGAATGGCATCCCATAGTTTTCCAGCTGTTGAACCCAAATACAAGCATCAGAAACTCTTGTGCATAACAATCCAACAGTTATTTTACTATGTTCCTAGTAAGGAGATCTCTCTAGTCTGTGTTATAAGTAACTGTAGTTGACAGCAATTCCCCTGAGTCTCACCTCTATCACGGCAGCTGGGGCTTGCTCTGTCATGTAGTGTATGGCATCCTGGTCACCCAGCCAATCTGACCCTTTCACCGTGTCATAGAAATGCCACCTCCAGTTATCGTCCTCCATGTTTCCCAGAGCAGCATTGATTCCTCCCTGAAAATGAAAACGCATTTTCCTGGAATTGTATTACTGAAGCACAACTTTAGTAGGTTTCCCTCGTTTCTGTTAAAAACCACATACCATTTATGCCTCTGTGTACAAGAAATAAACTCAGATTTAACGTGGCTGTGAAAAGCCTGTGCAATTTATCAGTTTCACAATGGCTTTTTTCTTGTTCTGTTTTGTGTAACACTATGAATTGCAAAGTTACATTGAATGCAGTGAAAAAACACTGAATGCAATCTAAACATACACTGCCCTCCAAATAGTTTCAACTAAATACCTAATATTTATAAAAGGAAGCATGGCCTTCAAACATGATGTTCATGGGCGTATCCAAATCAGCCTACTGACAGCAGGTATTCTTTAAACATTTGTTCTACATCATTTCTCACCTGTGCAGCAACAGTATGAGATCTGGTGGGAAACAGCTTTGTAACACATGCTGTATTAAAACCAGCCTCTGACAAACCAAACGCAGCCCGCAGACCTGCTCCTCCTGCACCCACAACAACTGCATCAAATTCATGGTCCACGACTGGATATTGTGTAGAAATCTGGAAAAATAAACCAGTTTGTTATGATCACAAATACTTCAAGCTAGATCAGACTTCAGTTTCATGAAGACACAAGCAGTATACGTTTCATGCCTTAATAGTCTGTAGTGAAGGCTACATCTGTTACATACTCTCTCAGGTGAAAACTATGATTAAAAAAAACAGTGCATTTCAGTAACTCAATCTCACTGTGTACTTTAACACACCACTCCACTAAAGGCCCAGTACCTGGCTGTTTCATGTCTCTCAAGCATTATGTGTACCATTTAACCTGTTACTTAAGATACAAAGAAGTACAACATACCGAATCAGAAACCTTCGTAGAGGCATTTTTCTTTCCATAGACTGTGAAGTGTAAGTTGCGTGCAAGAGTCTGGCATGCTGCTGGCCACTGCAGAAAGAAGTCAAGACAACTATTATAGGACAAATGTTTCCACAAGGAAGACTTGCAGCATTCTCGGCTACCCTACATTTATAACAAACCTTTATTCATCACTGATACCACATATTCAAGAATACCATAGCAATGTACTTTAGAGCTACATGCAACGAAGTTCTGGGTTTCCTATAGCCATACCCAGGAAAAAAAAAAAAAAAAAAAAAAAAAAAAAAGAGAAAAAAAAAAGTTCTGACCAGATGAGAGAACAGCCTGAAAGTAGCAGGGTGTCACAGACTATCTGTTATTCACTAACACTAACCAGCCTCTCGGACCTATCTGAGGCTGCACGGACAGAAGAATATGTTTGCAGTTAATGCTGTAGTATTTTTGCCTTTTTTCATAAGTAAACAAAGATGAACACAGCTTTACAGGAACCACAAAAGTTAATGGAAAATACCTCTCATGTTAAGCAATCATCAGAATCTGAATTATTTGGGGCAGTCAAGAGTAATGAGAAAAAAAAAAAAAAAAATCAGGGGGTAGGGGAAGCTGTGCCAGTTCATCGTTGCTTCAAAAGCCAGAGCTACTTTTCATGTTCTCATTCTCTTTTAATTAGTGGCCATTTAGAACCATTTATTAATATCTACACAAAGCACAAAGGCACAGTTTTCCCCTTCTGTAATGCTACTCCCTCTCCTCTGGCATGTTCAAAACCAAAACAAAAAATCCCACCACCCAAACCTACCCAGTATACAGTCTTTGCTTTGACAGGTTAAAACAATCAGAGTTTTAATCTCCACAGCATAAATTCCCAACTTCTTGGAACCTGGTACTTCTTCTTTATAGCATTCAGAAAAACATGCCTAACTGAGCATATGTGATTGATTAGAACAGCAACACCAATCCATACTCATGACCTGTGCAGTGACATTAGCACTGCTCTATTTGAAATATATCCTAAAATGCACAGGAGCGATATTTGCCTTTTCCAGTAATTGTTATAGTCACAGTTCAATCACCCTGTAGTATGCCAACAAGCAGGTCTTCCCTCCCTATCGCTTCCAAAAGTCCATCTCTTCCCCCTTCCCTGAAGTGAACTACAGTACACTTTACTTGACCTAGTTTTATGTCTTATACCAGTTTCTTCAAGTTATCTTCTTGCATAACAGTGAATCTAATGTGTCATCATACCTGCTAACAGGCTTCTGTTTTTTTACAGCCATCTTTAAATCAGATCAGCCTTAACACCTATTCAGAAGGACTTCTACTAGTACCCTCCTCCAGGCAGTTCCTCTCCCCCTTCCACCCTGCTGTGTTAACACACTTTGGGGTAATTCCATGCCCATCTAAATTTCTGTATTAATCATCTTCATTAATACTTCACATAGAGAATCAGGTCAACTAGCTTGCCTACAGCCAGATGAAACCTAAGTATCAGACATAATTTCTCTCCACAACAGCTCTCCCAGTAATCACTGATAAAGCTAAAATGGGGTGTCCTCTCTGCAGCAAAACTGCTTTCACAGGCCTGAGTGCAGCTTAAGGAGAAGACTTAGGAGAGCTCTAACTGACACGGCAGGCTACACTGCACACTTTAAATGTAGTGGCCATGCATTCTCTAGCATATACTACTACTACTTGTTTCCAAAACAGTGTTCCAGCAACAGTATGGCTCTTTTTACTGCAATAAATAATTTCTTGTAGGTGAACAACACATTTGGTTATTGCATAAAGCAATTCAAAGAAAGTCTTTACTGTATGTAAAGACAGCACACAAGAAACGCTGCACTTGCTTTCTAAGACAGGGACAACTGCAGCTGCATTTACAGCATCCTTTTCCCATGCGTTTATCTTTTGTAATCAAAAGCTCATGGACAGACACGCTGAGAACAGTGGACAGAAACTGAAAACTCCCATTCACGATGGAGGAAAACAAGCCTTTAGTAAGGACTGCTTACAGATCAGCTAAAACAAAACCGTCGAATGCTTAAGAAGCACTTTCTGCAAACAACTGCTTGCCAGACTTAAGCAACACGCAGACATAACGCCGCCATCCCACGCAGGTCCAGAAGGACCCAGCAGTAAGCTTCCTAACCAGACGCTGGGACTGGAAGGTGCAGCACCT